ATTGGTTGTGGGAGGAGAGAAATCTCCACCCATTTCGGGGACTAGAAGGGAGGTGTTATGTGATGAGCAATGTGTGAGAGAAGAAAGAAACACTGTGGCTCTTTCCTATCTCAGATAGATATGCACAAGCAGAGAGGACAGCAGACAGCTCGTGCAGTTTCCTGACCCCAGATGCAAAGAAACAGCAGCCAGTATTTGCCCACATCCTGATCAGGTCTTCCAAGTACAGGAAATGGGAGGAACCTGAATAGAGCAAGGTGTCAGGTCTATGAAGGCCTCAGATCTAACCCCTGACGACAGAGAACTGAGCACCAGATGGAATCAAGTATAGAAGGACACATCACAAAAGAAAGACCCATTGAAACAGCACCTCACGTGCCATAAATGGAGAAGAGAACGGAGAGTTCACTGAAGCCAGAAGACAGCGTGTTATCCATCACAATAAAGACTTTGCCTTTGTCTCTGAGCTGCGGCACCAATGTAGGGGGCAAAAATAAACCATTACATGTGTAAAGAACAGAGTCACAAGTGGGGCAAACAATGGCTGCTGTTCAGAGCTCACAGGATTTAAACTTTCATTTTATCTTAGAACTCTTTGGCATGAGAGATTCCCAAACACTATTTAATGGAGCAACTTTCTCTGTCCAGTGGAGCTCCCCATTACCACCCTTGATACACCAAAGGAAAAGGACGCAAATAACGTAAAGGGGTTTATTCTGAGACAAATATGTGGGACTATCACTTGCCCAAATAGCCATACCCAAGAAGCCTTGAGCAAGTGCTCTCCCCAAGGCAGGGTCACAGTTCAATTTTACATGTCAGACATGTCAGGAAGTTAGGAAAGACATGTAAAGTCATAAATCAATACATAGAATGCATACATTGGATCGGACTGAAAAGGCTGGAAATCTCAAAGTGGGCCATTACAGGTTATAGGTTGGTTTAGAAATTCTTTGATTTGGGCTTGGTGCCTGTACCTCTGCAAATAGGGACGCCAGCCACATACATCAGAGCTGACTTGTCAAATCCACCCCAGGCCTACCAAACAACAACAATTACAATAAAAGAATAGCCGGGTCTCAGTGCCTGAAGCTCTAGCAGCTAAGGTGCCAGCCACATACAAAAGAGCTGGCGGGTTCGAATACAGCCCAGGCCTGCAAACAATGACAACTACAACCAAAAAATAGATGGGGGTCATGATGTGCACCTATAGTCCCAGCTACTTGAGAGTCTGAGGCAAGAGAATCGCTTAAGCCTAGGAGGTGGAGATGGCTGTAAGCTGTGATGCCATGGCACTCTACCCAGGGC